TATACTTTTGTTGTAAATTGATTTTGTCTTATCATTACATTCGAAAGTATGTACTGTACAGTCCAGCTAACGGTTCATTATCATTTGAGACATAATTTACACAACTGATAGAAAAATACGCTTAGGTTGAGTAATCAACCACCAAGTATATTTTTATACACAATATGCAGATGACATAAAATTTAAAACCAATATGCCACCTTTATTGACAATATATTTACTGCACTGGTTCATTTTACTGTTTTTCGTGTTACAAAATTCCCTAAACTATAGAGGGTGGCAGACCGATTTATTTACTTGTCAGGGTAACTCGCGACTCGGACTCGCGTTTGAATAATATCGCGCATATATGTCTCCCCCTAAATTAAAGACCCCTCCAATTAAACACCACCTCTGCTACTACTTTTCTGTGGTCCCATATTAACTAATGTCTTTTATTTTCATTATTCTAATTAGAGACCAAAGCTGCTAAAGACCATGGAAACCTCAGTCCCAAAAATGGTCTTTAAGGTGGAAAACTGTAGTTTACGATTATTACACGACATTTGAATAAGGAAAAATAACATTTATATTCTAATCCAACTTCTAAAATTAATACTAATACATTATCTTTATGTATATTAATTGCACAATTGTAAGTAACCCACATTATTTATGAACAAATTGAGGCGGATTGTAGACATTTGTCGGGATGGACTTTAACATCATCTAATAAATAAAATAAAATGATTTACCAAATTCAAACTTTATTTATAGAGCACAAAATCATGGTTAATAATTCATAGCTAAGTACATACCAAAAAATCATTATCAATATCATACGTGTTTATGAGATGTTCCTCAGTTTCACATATCATTCTTACTGCTTGCCAGTCTTCTCTCTCAATTGCCAGGAATAATCTGTTCCTGTAAGAACAACAAACAAAGTATATTATCACTATATCCTTCAATTTGACTTTTAGATGACATACTTTTACTTAACAATTACTGTATTGTGTTAAAATAAACCAAGTGTTTCATGAATGTTAATTATGAACCTCATTATTATTGTATTTTATTGTCCATAATTTCATCATCATTGCCTTCGTCGTCATCATATTTGTTGTCATCATCACTATAGTCGTCGTTCTCGTCAATAGATTACCACCGTCTGACATCTTGATATCTTAAGTAGAATTATTTTAGAAGTCCCTATATTTTGCCAAAAATATATACTATTGATTTTTATGAACGCAAAACTAACAATTATACAATCAATACGCCCAATCATAAGTAACCTTGTGCTCATTATACAAAATTAATGTATACATTTAGTGCGTGCATTACATATCCAAACACTAATCATTTTGGGAATATAATCATTCGCTCCTTTATACTTTAATATATCAAATTATATATTCTGTAATACTCACTCGCTACTACGGAGATGCTCCATATTCATGCTGCTCAATGAATATTTGTTACGTTCGTGTTTGGTTATGTCGTGTTGAGTAGTGAGACGCTGTGAAGTAGGGTGTGATACAAGCTGCATTGCAAATATTCATAAGTTGTATGGTTGGCTGTTCTCATCACGTGATGATTCTGAAATGTATTGCTTTCAACCTGCTGTATGGAATTGTATATTAAGACAATCATTCAATCAGAATAAGGAACTCGTTTAAGACTGGTGTAACAATAGCCAATAAAGCAAACAAGCACAAAAAAATATGCAAAAAATTGTAGCTTTGACTCAACGCACGTTGGTTTAGTATCAAAAATGTTGTTGTTGTTATTGTGGCATATTAAACACAATAATATAATTAGGCCTACATAACCCATTAAGTACGAACTTAAAGGAAAAGTGCAGATATAACAAAGAGTGGAATAGCACCAGCAAAACTACAAACGTTTTCTAGACACGTGTCCCAGTCACAAGGGTTGGCTATACTCAACTCATAATTAACTGAATATTTTTGATGTTTACAGTAACTAACCTTAATGTACTATATTTTATATTTTGCTTAGTGTTTGTTGTTTTTCGAATATTGTAGACTATACCAATGGTATACTGTAATGGTATAATATAGGTTTCCCTCTTTTCGCGGAAAATACTACGCCTAGGTAAATAGGGTGTTACACTTACAAAAGAGGTCATATTTAATAATCTTGTGACATGTACAATAAAAGGTGAAGTAAATGAAGGATCAGGTGGCAAATTCCTTTAAAATTGAAAAAAATATATAATTACATTGTTTATAGTTTGGCCAATAGCCTAATATATTTATTTTATTTAAGTAGACTTACAATCTTGGCCTAAAGTAAGTCCAAAATATTTCTAGGCCTACTGCTAGTAGTAGCTATAGAGGTTGTATGTAGAGCCTTAGCTAAACAGTTAAAATGGCATAGGGCAGTTGCGTAACGATGGAGCCGGGGACCCAGTGGTTTTCTGAGATTGGCGTTGACAAAATAATAGTCATAGCAAAAACAATAACAATTGTGAAAAATTAATAATGATGGTAATGACGAAGGGGATGACGACTAAAGACGATGATGGCGACGGTTACTTAATAGCGATAGCTGACTTCACGTGCATTTACTATTATTCAGCTAGGAACACACCTTAGGGAAAAGGTAGAAATCAACAGCAAATGAACACTATAAGCATAGCAACCTGTAGTCAACTGTAAGCACCTATTCATGAAATACAATAGGTGATGAATTCAACGTTACAGAAAACTCAAAAGATAAAATAACATAATTCATAGCAACACGAAAGCAAACATACTCTATTATGTATTTCATTGTGTAACGCATTGAATTTAAACTTCAAGGGGTTAATCTGAAGCGGTTCACTTGACTGCTCTTGACAACGTCCACTAAAGAGTGGAACAACAAGTATTCAAAATGGAGTTTTAAAAAATCAACAAAATATTCATCGAATCTCAATTTAAGAAAAATATTATATTAGTTATTTCTTAACCAATATTTTGTTTATTATAGAATTACATCCAGTAGATGCGACTTATTCACTACTATTATATGCCTTTGGAGAATAACTTTATTCTTTAGGCAATCGTTACTGAACAAAATACATGGAATGATTCTTCTTATTTTGTGCAAATGCACGGATCGCGCAAAGGCTTCAGTTGATTTAATCAGACTCAGCAATTGTACTAAAGCACGAATGATATAAAAGCTTTGAAAGCATTTTTTTAAGTGTTTGAAATAACAAACCCTTAAAAATAACAACGATCTGGCATTTGCTAACATAAGATTTAAAAATTTACTGTTTAAAAAGCAATAAATAATAATAATTTATAATAATTTTATAATAGGTCTAATGCATTGAACGTAGGATGTTAACATCTTGAGCAGCAATAATGGATTAATACAGCCTCATGTGTATTATGGTAGGATGGGGTGGATGTCTACTTTGTTGTTTGTATGTTTATGTGTAGGGCGTACAATACCTTCTCAGGGTTTCCTTCGCTGTACGTCCACTGTCTTATTTGTTTTTTATGGGAATACAGATTGAATTGGATTTTTAAAAAAAGCCCCATATAGCTTAAAATATATACATGTGGAAAAAATACTTTAATATTTTAAACATTTGAAAACATGTTAACAATAACACAGGATGTTTCCATTTGAGAACAGTCAAAGAAGAATTAACAACACTTCACAAATCACAATGTGATACATGTCAGGCAGACAATTTAACGAAAAAATGCAAACTGCAACATCCAATAAAAAAAATGTATCGTTTAAAATGCTTACATTATTATATTAACAATCTTACTAGGAGGAGAAATGTGGGTGTACGAATTTCCTTGACGAGAGCAAAGTGGGCGTGTTCGAGCGTCTCTTAAAATGTCTTGAAAGTGATCCAGAGGGCTAAGCCCCCGAAAAAACCAAAAGAACAAAACAAAACAAAACAAAAAAAAAACAAAAAAAAAAACAAAACAAAAAAAACAAAAACAAAAACAAAAAAAACAAAGACAAAAACAAAAATTAGGGGTTTAAAGGCTTACCGTATTTAATCGATTTTAGAGTCTACTAATATGCCTGTGTACAAAATGAATACAGAGGTAATTATTTTTTCTCCCCGACGAATTGTGATCTTGCGCCCTCCACGATAAGGGGGTGGGGCTGGCCTTCGCTGGTGCCATCCCTGAAGCCGACCCGAATCCCCTAAATATTTCTAAATTATGAAAAAATGGGGTAGAAATTAAAATTATATTCGAAATTAAGTGTGTGAGAATGCCATTTCCGGGCATCTAGGGTGCCATAATCATACATTTTCTTATTTCAGCTCCAACCATGGTGGCAATGGCGAATTCAAGGGAGAGGGGTAGCCAGGCTGGGTCCAGCAGGCCCAACCCCTTCTCCTTTCATTTTTGAAAATTATTCTTAAAAAATGAAGAATAATTTCATTTCCCACCCCGCCTCCCCGCAAATCTCCCGGAAATGACTTCTTTAATAATAATTTAAAAAAATACAGGGTGTACCAATGGTAAGGAACCCACAATTTTTTTTTATTTACATTTTGCCCAGAAAATATCTAATGGAGAAGCGGATTTCTGTGGACATCATTTTTTTCTGATGGCTTGCAGCCTCTCAATCTTACTCTCCCCGCCACCCACTCCTCTCTTTCTGCACTCCTCTCTCCCGCCCCCATCACTCTCGTTCTCTCTCTATTTCTTTAACACCATGCAAGTCCTTACTGCAGGAAATAAATATTGATTATTATTATTCAGCCAAAATGAATACTAACACTATTATTTGGTCCACGCTCAACGTTAAGGAAAGGTCGTGATAATAACATAACATGCAATGAACCATGTTTCTTTGAAGGAAACAATTAATTGTTCGACGTTACAGAAGAACTAAGAATTCAAAACAGTCCTAGGGGTAGTCTTGAAACCTCAAATCTTCGCAAAAACTGTCCAGGGATATCTTTGAAACTACGAAAGCATATTGATGATGTGTTATTTGCTGTTATTGCGGTGGCGACATATCACAACCAAGACCGTGTATCCACTGATTTTGAAACCTGGATTTTGAGACAAATCATTTTGCAACATCCCGATGTTTTTTGTGTTTTTTTTTTTTTTTAATTATTATACTTTACAGTTACTTATTTGCAATTTGTTGATATATAGGAAAGAGCATTGTCGTATACATTGAGACGTCCGCCAGCACCAATATAGGTTTATATCGAAGAAAGGTATATATAGGGTTAAAGACATGATATTACATGTAGTAAGCTCTCAACGAATGTTTTCCTATAAATAAATAAAGAAATTGTGTAATAAAATATCTCTGATGGGATTCGAGCCTGCGACCTCTCGCTGTCAAGGCGAGCGTCATAACCATTAGACCATAGATGCTTCATGGTTGAACAAATTCAAATAACCCCCAGATACAATCCATTACACTATAGGTACGACTTGAAACAAATAGTTACATATAGGCTTAATATAAATCAGGATGGCCGTTAACAATGTTAAATAATATATAAATCATCAATGAAAGGTAAATAAGGCCTACAGTTTTAGGATAAAGGACGTGATAATACATCGTGTAGCATAGCTCTCAACGAATGTTGTCCAATAAGTAAATGAATAAAGACGTACATATAAGCTGTTCTGTTTATGATCTGTATTGTCGACAAACCAATGAAATTAAAGCGTATTTCAAGTAATAGGCCTATTATAATTGGATATTACCGGTGTTACCAAATATGGATATAAAAGTATGAAGATATTATAAACAGACCAACTTATATTATGTCATGAAAAATAATAATGAAATTCTTTTGTTTTTACAAGTGCTCTATATATTTTCTCTCTAAAATGACTCTTGATAAAATTGTTTGGAGAAATTCTTCCACTTTTAAGATAATGCATTGTTTTGGGAAAAAATGATGATGATGGTGATGATTATGATGATAACGATGACGATGTGATGATGATGATGATGATGATGAAAATAAAAATGATGATGTTGATGAAAATGACAATGATAATAATAATAATATCATTAACGATGATGACGATCATGAAAATGATAATATTGACAATAAACTATATTAATAACAGATAATATGATGATGGCAATGGTATTAATCATAACAATAATAATAATAATACTGATAATAATAATAATAATAATGATAATAATAATAATGCTAATAATGATAATGATAATGATAATGATAATGATAATAATAATAATAACAATAACAATAACAATAACAAGAAGAAGAAGAACAAGAGGAAGAGGAAGAGGAAGAGGAAGAAGAAGAAGAAGAATGATAATGATAATGATAATGATAATGATAATGATAATAATAATAATAATAATAATAATAACAATAACAATAACAATAGCAATAACAATAACAATAACAGAAGAAGAAGTAGAAGAAGAAAAATGATAATAATAATGATAATAATAATA